AATTTTTCTATGGTCTTCAGTCTCCTAAAAATAGTGTTAATCCAAATTTTAATGAACAAATTCATTTTAGAGTAGTTATAGTGCCTTGCCAATTCAGTACGTTCATAAGTCGATTAAATGAAATACACTCCTTTACATTCAATTCAGATCCAGAGATCTCAAGTTTTCCCATTTATATTATCCACGGGAAAGGGGGTCATAAATCTCTCAATCTTTGAAGAAAAAATTTTTCAGTAGAAATATCAGTTTTGAGTTTTTGACGGGATAAGTCTCTAGTTTTTCAAAGAATATGTTGCGAGGAGTTTCGTTATTTCTTCCGCGGTTGAAAGCGTGTACTTAAGGCTCGTACCCAGCAAAAATATTAAACTACGTACATGTTAGATGAACATTTTAAAATTGCTCTCAGCTAAAACTTTCCCCTTAAACCTTCCATTCAGATTTTTTTTCGCTGTTTTATTTTCTTTTTTTTCTGGTTGAGCTTCTTCTAATCGATACCTATGTTCGTTCAACATACTTCTTCGGAATGACTTTATGTATCAGTATTTAATGTATCAGTTTTTAGAATTTGGACTTTGAAGTCATTTTCCCTGTTGTCGATAAGAAATAATGAGTCATTTACTTGAATGCCAATAATTTTAGATTCAAAATATTTTACCTGAATTCTACAATCCCACCTCGAGACGCTTGTTCCCCAAGACTGCGTATATTTGGCCACGACATCCGGCATCAGAGCTGTATAGCAGTGGCAGCGGAGCCTGCACAAATCTTTAATCCACTCACTATCCACTTTCCACGATAATTATCCCGGGTGAAGAAATTGAGGCAGCCCACATTTTCCTAGGCGGCTCCCGGACATTCTTCAATGTCTTGCCTCTAACAATCCCCGTCAGATGGCAGTCGATTCGCTGACACATCCTGCTTCCAAAATGATGTACTTGCACTTTTCTCCAAGAAGCGGTGCACCTGATTGCGGGTGCGCTAGGAAATTGGCCTCACTCGCCGCAGCGATATTTCAGGAAAATGACTGATTCCCGGATTAGAGAGATTCTGCATTGTTCCCGTAGATTGCAAGCTTCTGTCTTGAGATGGTTCACTTTCCGAATCGATGAAAGTGCATGGTCGGCACGTGCTTTTAAGAACAAAACCTCATTTTAGCTTACGATCCCACGCGGATTGAGATTAAAAAATCGCTTCAGTTCTCCTTTAACATGTCAAGTTTCTTAGGAGAAACATCAATTTTAGAATTGAGGTATTTTCTATTCACTGGAAAAAAGCATATGGGATCTAGAGTCCAGACTCTTAAAACATCGACAAGAAAAAGTACTCTTGATTCAATCAGAATCTAGCTTAAATCAAGAACCAAGCCTCTTAATTTAAGCGGATTTCGTTTTGATTCAAGCAAAAATTCAATTAAATCAAGAGTATTTTTTCTTGTCAGTGTTTTCAAGAGTCTGGACTCTAGATCCAATGTGTTTTTTTCCAGTGTTGTACGCGAAACTGATGCAATAAAAGACAGACGATGAAACATTAGATGGTGTAGAAAATGATCCGTTTGCAAAACGTGCCTCAAACCAAAAATGGGCGTAGCGAAAAATGGTTCACCGGCGACAGGGGGTCCTAGATTTCAAAAATGTCTACGAATTACCAAAAATGAAGGACTTTTAAGAATATTACCTAGGTTCAATCTTCAAATATTAATAATTCACACCAAAAAAGTGCCTGATTTGAATTATCACTTGCAACATCCTGCTTTCACTAGCCGACAAAATACGCATAGCAAACGCACCTCCACCCAAGATCATATTTAATGTAAAGATGCAGTTAAGAATTCATGTGACATGAAGACGTTTGGGCCCGTGTTCGGTCGGATCCTGAGATGTTCTATTGCCCATATTTTGGCGGGAGCAGTCGTGATGTCGTGTGCGTTGCCTGAATAGTGAACGCAGTGCGATGGTGAGGACGATAACATGGCACGGTGAAAATTTTTAGCCGTGGGAAAGCAACAGTTTTCGGTCGAACAGATCACGATTGCGTTGAACTTCATTGTTGACACATTTATGAGAAAATACGAATATGATGATGACTTAATTGAAAATTTTACAATAAAAATGAGGCGCTTATTTCGAAAATTTTGCCGAAAATTGCAGAGTCGAATTTTTTTCGAAATTAATTTTTGGACGAAAAATTAATCCCTTTCCGTCAATTTTTTTTTTTTTTTTTTTTTTTTTTTTTTTTTTTTTTTTACAGTTGGCACCTTTTCAAGACAAGCGCTATTCATTCATCAGTATGAAATGTTCCTCACCTGAACGGTACAGCGGCAGTTTGGTATTGCGATTTCATATATCTAGCGAAATGAGTAATAACAATGAATGTGGGATGGAGCTGGTTCAGAATTTGAAATTAATGTAGCGTTAAAATCCAGTTCAATTAGAAGAGAATTACTAAAAATTAGGATGTTAAACTTCCTGAGGAAACGTCTTAAGTAATTTAGTGTCACATAGCTCAAAACTCAATAAAAATGGATGATCTATACATACTGTTGATTACTTTATCCTCCATTGAACGCTGTAAAGTACCGAAATGAAAGATACAACTATTTTAACTTCCGAGTAGTTAAAATTGCATATCAATTGAATTGAAGGTGAATCCTATTTCTTGCTCTTAAATTAAGTCTTCCAGGCTCAATACGTGAAAGTTATGGACTCAAATTCATGATTTATTTTTTTTAACCACCAAGTGTCTGTATAAGTATCGCCATCGGATTAAAGTTCGCTCATTGCTAGTTTTACATATTATATGCAACTTCTTTAACAGTATCTAACTAACTTCCTGTAGCGCGGCACGGAAACAAACTTACAAAAGATGGGGCGAAAAAGAGAAACTCCTTTTTTCTATATTTCGGCTAGTGAAATGTGAATTTGATTACTTTTTTGGCGAGAGGACAACTATGATTGTGATAGTGTCAATGTTCTAGAGCGCAGAGATGATTTTAGACAAAAGAGCATACCAAGTTCACTTTTGCCGGTCATCAAGAGGTGCGAACTGGCCGAAACTTGAGGGCTCATTACTTTTTGGCTAATCCGCCACTCATGAGCATTAATGGACGCTAATGACCTTTGATGACTCGCCAACCTAAGCTTTTGCGCCTCGTAATTTGCTTTCTCCAGTTTTATCGCTCTGATTCTTCGTCCCAGGAAAAAAAAACGCTTTTACTAAATTTGCTGTCTTTCTCTTTCGTCAAATGAAAATTTACTTTCAACCGCTAAAGAGCTAATGGCCAAAGTGCGGAACCACGTATCTCCGTTTACAACTTTGTAGACTTCCTGTCATACTTCATTTTTTCTTAGGAAAAGTAGTGAACGTAATTCCTTGACTACTTCCTTGCTTTTTCTTCTCTGTCAGAGTATAAATTTCAAGCTCTAAAGCTGGCTTGCTTCTATTTGAAAAAAATAAAAAGTGGACATTTTGAAACACCGCACTTGGTTTTGCACTTTAGCCACCGATATTATGGCTTTGTTTGCGTCGTGTTACATATATCTAGTGCAGCACCATACAGGGTGACTTGTACGCATTTTTTCTCAAAGCGTAAATATAAAAAATTAAGAAATTATAAGTTGTTGAGTTATTTAAAATGGAATACCGGAAACGAAGCAGATGGATCATACTCAACGATTAACCGTATACCATAAAATATTCACCGATAACAAGAGACAAATTTTTGACGGATTAAAATCTAACAGAAAATCATTGACGCTTTTTTTAAAGGAATACTGTACGGGCTGTTATGCATGAACGTGAACGTCTAAGCAGGACCACAGAACTATACAGTCGCAGCAATCACCACAACTGTGATGTTTAAATAGTTGATAGTGGGTTTAGACCGGTCAAGCTAGGGATTCTTCTGAAAAAAGGTCGTACCTTCATTCACTATTAGGTCATCGGTTGGATCAACCATACATCTGTCTCATAACGATACAGACGAAGAAATTCACTGCGGACAGTGAAAGTGATATCACAGCGTAGTTGTTAAATTCGAAGAAACGGTTAGCAGCCGGCGGCGCGAACGTATGAAATACAGTTTTTGTCACAAACAGGAGAAACCAAACAGCGGATTCAGAAAATGCGCTCGTCGAGAAAAACGCTGCTCAATTCTGGTTCGACATAACTGCCAGTTCCTTCCTAAAATCCGGATGATGTGCGTCTGGAGAATTTTGCCTTCTCAAGCGTGGCAATTTAAATAATAGAGGCCTGGGTTCGACAGAGCTGCCGATTGGTGAAAAGTGGGTACACTGCGTAGGTCACGAAAAAGTCCTTCTGAGATTATTTCAGATTGCTGAAAGAAATGTAAAGATCAAGTGCAAGAAAATGAGGGTGCGATAATTTGCTCATACATCGAACGAGCACAGTATATAGGGCAAAAAATGAATTCCACAGTTTGCCACTTTTTGAAATAATCCATGAAATTTCTTTATGCTTAAAAATGTATTGAGGCACCACGTTGAGACATTTTCTTTCAGGAACACAATCATGAAAGTCGAACTTTAAAACTGCCCTAGATTGGAAGAAAGGACAGTGCGGGGAAATGATCTTGGAGTTCAGGCGCATTTTTTATTTATCTATATATTTTACTTTTTCCTTTTACATTGGAAAAAAAGTTAGAAAGTGCGTTTCTTCCGAAAATTGTCCGACTTCAAAGTTTGAGAACAGGCTGACATATGTCAACAACAATTTCAGTTCACCGAAAATATCGGGCTGTTTTTTTTTTTCCTTTTTGAAATTTTTTTTCTCTTCTTCGAAGCTAGACATTTTTCAAAACGAGCTATTCACAAACTATGTTCACATCACTGTTGTTATACAACCGATATAGAACCACCAAAGAAACCACCAAACCACCTTTTGATACCAAATAATTTCCTCGCAAATGAGTTAATTTTTTTTAAATTTTTTAAATTTTTAATTGTGATATTAAACTGATTATTTTTCAATTTGGGGTGTTTCAGCGTTCAACGTGCTGGGTAACTTCCTGTCGATAGTGCGGCTGAAGCGAGACCTGAGCCCAGCGATCATGGAGGAGGAGCTGAAAGCGCGGCTGGCGTCGAACGAGGTGGAGGCGCAGACAGCACTGGGCGCCCTCATGGAGCACACCCTCGACAAATTCGTCGACAACCACGTGCTCAGGGTGAACCTCCCCTTCGGCATGACCGCCGCCATGGTCGACGAGAACTCCGCCGAGAGACGATCGAGTTCCGGCAACAGCATCGACATCAACCTCGGACGGGCCCTTGGAGAAGGTCAGTAATCCTTCTTAATACATTTCTCATCAAAATGATAACAAATGATACACAACACAAAAATACATTCGTTCACATGGTAAAAAAAAAAACAAAAAAAAAACCAATAAATTATGGGGAAAAGTATACAAAACGCTGGGAACGTGAAGAATTTTGTTACATTTGATCTCGAAAATGGCCTGGGCAGCAGCACAAAGTTGGAACCTCCAAATGAGCAGCAAAACCTCTTACTTTGGAGGCATCGTACTTTTGAACAGTTTCTATCGTTGAACAATTAGGAAAATTTCATTTTTTATATAAACATACATTTTGATTAACTTTGACGTTTGGAATAATTTTATGAAACAAAATTAAAGTAGTACTTACAAATGTCATTATTTTAGACTTTCTTCAAATAAATTTGATAATACACTTAATACAATCTGATTAAATTAAGTCTGTCAAGAATTTAATAAAATATGACGCTAATACGTATATGTATTATCAAATTCTGTTCGCACTGCACGAGTAAAGATGAGAAGTTTACCAACATTAATTTGTAGGCATCAGAAATCATGGTTATCATTTTTTCGAGCTCAGAATTTCGTCCGTTAATAAGTCCAAAATCAGTTTTTACATTCTACTCCTTATAATTACATCGTGATGTATTAATATTTCCCTTATCTATAATGAATCGGCTCCTACACTGCCGCGATATTGAACAGAGCAGTTAGTACATTTCTGTATGAGCCATGGTTAGCACATGCTTTTATGTATCTCGGAGCTCATCCCAGCATGCACTTAATGCCCCTTTGGTACCACGGCAGTACAACAATCGCATTTTGAATCTAACGTGTCTGGGAATAAAAAATGAAGGTGCATGTGAAGCATAAAAACTACGGAAATGAATGAAAGACAACTCACGGATATTTGAATGTAGATTACTCAATCGATTAAGCCAACTTGACGTAACAAAAGTCTTTTCAACTGAGAGTGATGCCGAATATTTGATCGCGGCTCGCTGGATCTTGTGTCCTCTTGATGCATCAGTGACTTTGAATGACTCCAGATGCATCCGTCTTTCAATGACTTTGACGTCCGATGAACGGGTTGTATACCCATTAAAATAAATCCACCTGTTTGTGATTTTTTTTCTGCGACTAAACTAGCGATAACATTCTGGCTTTTCTTCCTCCATTTCGGTGTATTGAATTTTTGCAACACTTTTACTTTTCTATTGTTCATCACATGCTCGCACATGCATTTTGCAATTCGTTATTCCATTCCTCCACGAATGCGTGTTTTTTCTTATATTTCCTGGGAATTATTACGATGCTTTATTTAAATCTAAGAATTGGGTTATTCCTACAAATTTGCCTAGTTTGTGAACATCCCGTACCAACGCCATATTGGTCAAACACATACGTAAAGTCTTTTTTTTTTTTTGCGGAAACAAACCATGATCAAAACTCAGAGGTCCATTGATAGTATTAATTATTACATACTTGAGGGAGCTATACACTTCGCAAAAATAGAGGGATATCGTTTGGTTTAAAATCCGTAAGATACTTTTATTGCCCATTTTTGAGAGTATCTTGTCAACTTTCAGACAGTAATAATTTATTCTAAAAAATGGACGGACAACACATCGTAGCAAAAAAGCGAGCCCTACTGGCACGCTTAAAAAATTGAAATATTTCCGTCGGACCATGCTTACACTACTAGCGATGTTTATATTTGACATGAGTTAGGGCCATTATATACTTAGTTAGTTAGTTAGTTAGTCAGTTAGCTAGTTAGTTAGTCAGTTAGTTAGTTAGTTAGTTAGTTAGTTAGTTAGTTAGTTAGTTAGTCAGTTAGCTAGTTAGTTAGTCAGTCAGTCAGTTAGTTAGTTAGTTAGTTAGTTAGTTAGTTAGTTAGTTAGTTAGTTAGTTAGTTAGTTAGTTAGTTAGTTAGTCAGTTAGTTAGTTAGTCAGTTAGTCAGTTAGTCAGTTAGTCAGTTAATTAGTTAGTTAGTTAGTTAGTTAGTTAGTTAGTTAGTTAGTTAGTTAGTTAGTTAGTTAGTTAGTTAGTTCGACCCAAACAGAGACCGGAAGTGACCAAACCATGATGCATTTCGTAACACGACCTTTAATGAGCAAAAAATCGTGGAGTGGAAGAACTTCAGCCGGGGTCAGCCCAAAAAGGGCCCTTACCGATACCCCTGCTTTGACTAAGTTCCTTTTGGCCGCACTTGGCATACGTCCAGCGTGATGTCATCACCTGATCTTACGGCACTGGCACTCCCTGACCACGGCCAAGAACTTGCATAATGCGGCAGCAACCTTGACCCTGTAACAGTAACCGCGACTCACGTGTCGGTCGTAAACCGCACGATGGAGGTCCGGCCCGGGGGCCAGCGGCCGGCGTGCGTGCGGCTTGCAGAACCGGTTGCAGTCTGGTCCAGACCGGGGAACTAGGGTAACCGGTGCCGGTGCAGCCGGTGCGGTGTGACGCGACGCGGGTAAACGCCCCGAGCGCCGCTGCAACTGCGCCGCTCCAGCAATAATCACCTGGTATTATCGCATCATTCCCGCCAGAAATCCACCGTCGACCCGTTACGCAACCCGGAAATCCGACGCAAATGCGTCCACGGGAACGTCCAAGTACCGTGGGACGATCTTCACTATCGTACCGTGAACATTCTGGTTGTAAACCAAAATTTAAGAGGGAAACCGTGGGAAAATCTGTAGACTTGATGACAACATTCACAGGGTTGTATTTTGAGGAACGATCCGATGAAAATATCATCCCTTTGTTACAATTCAGGATAATTTTAAAAGGAAAGAGGGTGCAGGTTCCATTTGGTTTTTCTTTTAGTACATACATACATTCGAGTAGCTTTACAGCGCGCTCGGGCACTCTGCGACACTTAATCGCCATCCTCGCCTATCGATCCAGAGGTCATCTGGTAAATGGCATCTTGTGATTTCATTTTGAATGCCACCTATCCACAATTTTGCTGGACGTCCCCTACGTCTTCTTCTTTTTTCTTTTAGTTCATCTTTGAATTTCGTCAGAGATCGCCATGCTCATTAAGAAAAATAATTAAAGTACCCTAATCAAAGAGGCTGTCCCATTTTCCATAGGAAATGGCCGCGAGAGATTTTACATTCATACTTTCAGAAAACGTAACGGATCATCGGAGAGGCCTAAATCCGGTGACCTTTCCCGTCTAGCCCTCCAAGGGGCGAGGGGGGAGGGAGTCAAAGGTCAAACGCACAGACCGCCATAACTTTTGAGCGAAACAACGGATCAACTTGATCTGGGCTCAAATGAAAGCTCTCAAAAAGACCATTCATATTTTAATGTATATTGAAGTCTGTTTTTGGTTATTTTTTAATTTGAAAAAAATCATGGTATGATTTTTTAAGCCCAAAAAATTCAGTTTTTCGGGTTTTTCCATAAAAGGGAACGCATGAATCATTACAAAAACCAATTTAAATGAAAGCCCTTGATTTAAGCTGTAAAACGAGCTATCGTTGAACTTGGGGAAATGAATGGTTCAAAAGTTATGACCGTTCAAAGTTGGCGTGGCGCGCTATTTTCGAAGCGCGCGGAGTGTATACTCGCGTGCCAACCACCCTACCTTTTCCCCTGGTGCCCGCTTCAGCTGATAACGGACACAGGAAGGTCCAAAGCTCCTTCCACCTTAAGAATGACCAATCATTAGTGCAAAATTACTTTTATTTCTAACGGAAACAGGGAAATGAAAATATATTAAATGCTAAACGATAAGACGCTGGCATACATTATTTTTTCGGCCCCCCTCCTCCAGGATTTAATATTTAATAGCCGAATCAAGCCTCTCATCATTGCGGTATCTGATTATTCCCGTGCAGGTAAATCTTGATGAAAGAAGAATAGATCGGAGAGAGGCGAAGGAGAGATATTCAGTAGTAAATACGAGTTTCAAGTGCTGGTCGGCTAGTTGCGTGCTAGAGCCTATGAATATTATCTACAGCTTTTGAGTGTATTTTGCGGTAAAAGGGGCTTACTTTGGCTATTAAATATTACATCCTGGAGGATTCAATATTTAATAGCCTTAATTAAAATACAAATTTATTTCTCAATGACAAGCGTCTTTGTCATGACCTGGCCCGCACAAGGGGGGGGGGCGCATACTGGGTCCCTGGTACCGGGGCCCGGGCCCCGGTGGCGCCCGTGCCGCCGCTGACAAACCACTACGAATTCACATATAACCCTTGTCTCGTAAGGAAAAGTGATAATTTTACCCTAAACATTTCTCAAAAGGTGAATAAATTTTCAAAAACACGCTCGGGCACTTTAAAATTCTTCAAATTTCTTTAAAGATTTCTATCTATTTTAAAGATTTTTAGTAACTGCATTTCATTTTCTTTCGTCGTCGGATGCTAAGAGTCTCTAGTCTGGGCATCCTAGATTTCAGTGGCTCAACTCCCTTGCCATAGACGTGCGAAAGGGGAGTCCATGGGAAGCTGGCACCCTAGAATTCGAAGTAGTATCATCTGCTCCCCCCCTCCTTTCAAAAAAAAATTCAGATGTTTTGAACGCAGCAATTCGAAAGTATTTTGTGCTGAAAGTAAAAAAAAGGCGTAATGATTCCGCAAAAATTGATGGAAAATCTCCGTCATGGGAGCTTCAAAATGCGTCCAAATAGATTTAAAATTTCAAAAATTTCCCGGGGGAGGCCCCTCGGACCCCCCCTCTGTGTTGGGGGCCCAAGCCTTGAAACCTATACCAGGGCCCGAGATGGGATGTGGCAGGCCTCGCTCATGGCGTCTCTGATTTCCGCATGAGCCTCAGGACGCATGGCTTTACATGTAAAACTTGGCTTTCTTGGAAATTAAGGTACGCCCCTTTTGTCAGAGTATCGACGATGAGAGCAGTTTTCCTATACCCTCCACCACTCAAAATACCAGGACGGTGCTTATACCACTCGTACAGATCCGTTTAGTTAACATACCCGCGAACACCACTATAATCTTCACGGCTGGAAACTA